TAGGGTGGCAACACTAGTCTGCAGTCACCCCAGGGCGGGAAGTGTGTTACTAGCAGGATCACCAGGTGACAATAAAGGGGAAAAAAGCCTGAAAAGAGAAAACTAATGCAGCCACCACATCAAAGTATTTGTTGGCTACAATATATAACCTTTGATGAGTTTAAAAAAGGTTTTATTGTAAAATGTATGAACGTGTGTGAAACATCATCTTGAAGCATATGGTGAAACTTGTGATGGCTCAATGCCATCAAAGCCAGACCCCAACTAACACTTTGAAATAGTTACAGCAATAGCTTTTTCTTTAAATCATTAAATTCTTAAATCATATGAATAAAAGCTGACCATTGAAACACTCCCCCCACCCCGGTCAGTGTAATATGGTTTGACCCAACTGTTACTGCCACTTTTGCTCAACAGCTTGGCCTGTTAAACGAAGTGGCTCTGTGACTCATTGCCAAGAACTCCTCACTCCTTGAAGCTTGGTCACAGTTCCAAGCTTTGTGTACTCATGATACTTCTACTGTCAGAGGCCGGGCCGAGCACTTATTTGTCACAATAATCTCCCGCCGGCCAAGGATGTTGATTATTCGGAGCAGGGAACGGGCTCTCTATGTAGAGAAAACATCACGAGGCACCTGAATATACAAGAAAGCTTATTTAATGAGGCAACCCCAAAGAGCCATGGTGAGATACAAGATCGAGAATGCCAACCCATCCCTTTAAAGGGAGACGATAGTGTATTTTCAGCGAGCATAGGCAGAGCAGATGAAGAGATTGTAGAGATACACTGTTATAACCCCCGTTATAACAGTGTATGACTTATAGTAGATGTAAACCCTAACTGGATGACATAACACAAGGGGGGGGATTCAATAAGACTTTGTTGACGCTTTTCTGGCGGTATGCTCCCTTTGAATGGTCCTGAGCTTAGCTCATGAAGCCTTTCAATAGTTTTGTTAGGAGTTCCGACACATATGACAGATTCAGGTAGTTCCTTTTTGTGCCGACACTTCCATAATGTGTCGCTATGGCTGCTACAATTTCAAAAATAATTACCACCATAACCAAACTGGAGGTAAATATTGGCTATGCTAAGTTGCCGTACAGAGACAAGCCACTAGTCAAAATGGGGCAGCTGTGTAGGACATGGTTGTCCTGGGAAGCTGTCATGGATGTGACAGGTCCCGCTCTGGGCTGCTCCGATGCTAGAACCTGACAACCAATGACCAACCCCATTAAGCTGCCAGCTGGGAGATTCCCCGGCCGGCAGCTGAATGTAAACAAAGGGGCCAGGGATTCTGGATGATGTCATTGCCCACATATGGTAATGACCATATTTGGTCAGTGGTGTCAGGCAGGAAGCTGTCATGAATGTGACAGGTTCTCACTCAGGGTTGGTTGATTGCTAGAACCTGTTGTAACGGCAACCGCCGTCACCGCTCACCTGGGAATCGGGGGGTACAGGGTTCTGCCTCACGGGACGGGCCGCCTGCGTTCCGGCAGGGTGCGCGCACATCTGCTTCCGGGTTCGGACGGCGGGTGCGTTCCACCTTGGCACGCGGAAGTGCTTCGTCTCGTTCGGCGGCTCCTCCCCCCGCCTCTTAGCCCTATATAAACGCCCCAGTGAGACAGTATGGCGTTCCAATATTGAAGACTGAACGCCTGCTGTCTCCTGGGACCCCCCATACCATCCAACACTGCTACCTTCTACAGAGGACCTTCAACGAACTCCACTTGGACCCCCAGCTCCTTCTGCTACTCCATTTAACCGCAAGTACCCTGGCATATTGCTCTCCATTGAGTTAAACTAACTGTGTGTACAGAGAAGCTGGATTAACTTGCATGCTCCATCTAGTGGTCCTTTTGGAGAATACAACTTTACCTCTAAACCATAGCTGTTATCGATACTAACCTAATTGACAACCTGAACCTTACATCTTCTATTATTGTTACATTTGATGGGGGTTATGCAGTAATAATCCCATCCATCCTTTTACTTCTGTTTATTTTGGCTGTGATGCTTGAACCCTAACTCCCCGTTAAGATTGGGAGTGAAACCAGGGTTCCGTCTGATTGGCCTCCGCAGTTGTGATCCACAAAACCCCAACCTCACACCAGGTGTTACATCTGTCACCCAATGATGTATCCCGACTCCATTCAGATGCCGGCCAAGAGATTTCCTGGCCGGCAGCTGAATGTGAACAAAGGGGCCGGGGATTCTGGATGATGTCATTGCCCAAATATAGCAATCACCATATTTGGTTAATGATGTCATCTAGGAAGCTGTCATGAATATGACAGGTTCCCACTCAGGGCTGGTTGATTGCTAGAACCTGTCACCCAATTATGTAGCCCCACTCCATTCAGCTGCCAGCCAGGAGATTCCCCATCCGGCAACGGAATGTAAACAAAGGGACCAGGGATTCTGGATGATGTAATTGCCCAAATATGGCATATTTGTTCAATTATGTCAGCCAACATCCTTGCCCCTTTGTTTACATTCCGTTGTCTGCAGTGGCAATCCAGCCCATTTAGCAGCTAAATGGGACCAGGGATGAGTAATTGGTTGCTAAAGCGCTGTCTTGAAAAAGTTGCTGACCAAAAATTAAGCTCTGTTACAGGACATGCAATGAGAGATAGATAGATAGATAGATAGATAGATAGATAGATAGATAGATAGATAGATAGATAGATAGAGATATGAAGTTGTCATATAGCTCGTGTAAGGCGTGTTCCCTTTCACAGAGTGTATATTAATGTATAATAAACCCCGGGTGATCTCATTTACGGTATGTGAGCTATAACTGTCCGCAGTGTTTATGAACGCAGTCACACAGCAGGGAAGAATTCTCTGGATGGAAGTTCATATACGATGAGATTACATTATAAGGGGTGAGATATATTTGTTGCTTGTATTATATTGGCTCCTTTTCTTTTCTTTTTATATTGATGGCCAATGTATTGAATTCCACTAGCGGGCATTCCAGAAGTCAAAACTGGTTTATTTGTTTGAGTATTGACTGCTCTTGTACTACCAAATCCAGCAGGAAAGGAATCCAGTGGGGGTGGGCAACCTCCCCTGCTGGATTCCTTTTCTACGACTGCCCAGGTGGGGGCAAATGCAGGAAAAAAGGGGATCCCAAACTGCATTGTAAAGTGGTACATGTTGTGCCGCCAGCACAAAAACTGAGAACAGTCACAGCAGGGGGCCATGTGACTGCTTACAAAAAGTGATATAAGGGCCAGTCCGATGACATCACAAGTCCTTCCTCTTCTCCCCGGCAGTGACAGTGGACGGCCCTGTTCAGTACTCAGTGCACAGAACAGTGATCTCCCAATGAGTGCAAACGTTTTCTGACCCCTGGCCACTGTTGATGACGCACCACCAGGGGGCAGCTCAATGACAACCTAGACTCAAAGGTTAAATGAAGATGAAGACTGGGGACATCTAGTGGCAGAAAGGAAGTACTGCGGGGGGCAGCTCTTGATTGAAGCTAAGTATTGCAGCTGCTCTTTTTTACTTTGCAAGGCTATTCATTTATTTAATAATATAGTCAGAGGGGGCACTAAAAAAGGCTTAACCTTGTAACATTTGTTTGTTTGTTTTTGTTTATATACAAGAAATTTGGACTAGCTATTATTGCAAAATCTCAGCATTTTGCCAAAATGCAGCAGAGTCAGCTGGGTAGGCAGAATGAGGTTCTTTTAATGTTGGAATGATCTTTAAATGGTTTTGGAAACTCTTTTAACCCTTTTGCTGCCAAGGCTTTTTTTGCACACATTTTAATCCACATTTTAGACCTGCAAATTACATAAAATCCCAAACTTGATATATTTTAAGGATGCAAAGACCCTGTAGAATAAAATGGTAGCAGTTGCAAATTTTTACTTAGTGCAACTCTTTATCAAACCCCAAAAAATTAGTAAAACATGCACTTAAGTTGATTTTAGTGCCCAAAAACATAATATAGTACCCATTTATTTATAAACTATAAAAGATGAGGTTCCCAGGTGGGCCTGCAGGAGGAGCAGCAGAGCCCAGGAAGCAAGGCAGGGGTGTCGGGTGGGGGGTGCACACTGCACCGGCCCTCTGAAGCGATCTGGTGGCAGCTCAGCTGCCAGGATCGCTTCCAGTTTAAAGCCGACTGTGGGCTTTACACATGTAAACTGGACAGCTATAGCGGCCTGGGAGTCTGTTTAAAGAGGCCCGCTGCCATCGACGTATGCAGAGGGGTAGTCGCTCAGCACAGCGGCAGTACAGGACCCAGAAGATCGCTGTAGAGGTTCCCTGTGGCGCTACTAGTTATAAGATACAAATAGTTACATTGGGCCAAGATGGACAAATGTATGTAAGCCTACATAAGCAGCTCAGTGAGCAAAACTGAAAGTTTCTGCTTTAGCAAAATCACCAAAATTATCCCAAACTCTACCTGCACTCAGGGTCAGATTTACTCTCTCTGCTGCTCCAAGGCCAGGTTCCTTAATGTGCCCCCCCTGCCCGCCAAATTTCCCCCCAGATGGCAGGGCGGCAGGTTTGGTTTAAATTTTTTTTTTTTACTTTATTATCCCTTGTACAGAACGAGCGCCGGCTTCCCCGCTCTACATTTAACCCTGCTTGTCCCAAACTGCATGTCCCGGGCGTCGGGAGATAGGTATTCCACACCCCTGCTGACCCTCTACTCCCTGCTGTCCCAAGGCCGGGCCTCTGTGGCCTTGTGGGGAATCCGGGCCTGGGTATTCCACACCCCTGGTACCCCTCTGCCCCCTGCTGCCCCAAGGCAGGGCCTCGGTTGGCCTTGTGGGAAATCCATCCCGGCCTGCACTCCTGCCCCAAGTGTTCACAGAAAGTTAACAGGGTTAGCTGACATCATTTTAGTTTTTCTCTGAAATCTTCAGATATCAAAGAGAAAGTCGGTTTTAGTTCTTTAAAACTCTGACCAATTTTCTTTATTTTCTCGTCATCAGGCAAGTCCGTTGCGCCCTAAAAAGATCCACAAGAGGCTCGGGACACAGGGGACATGAGCGTAGAGGAGAACAATGATTAATCTGTGGTAAGCATCATCATAATCAGCTGATGAGATCACGAGACAAGCGTGGAGGAAATGCAACAAATCTTCAGCAATGCACAATATATAAAATCTAATCTGACCAAAGTGCCCAGGGGGAAAAGTCACACATATGGTACAAAAAAATGGAATCTTTGTGCTGCTGCTAAAGTTACATTTATGAAAATGATTAAATGTATATAATGGGCAAGAAAATCACATTTTCCCACTGATTCTTAAAAGAACCAATGCATTCGAGCTGCTAGATTAAATTATTCCAGTTTTACTAATTATTTATAGGCTTAAGATAAACACTGCTTTGTCCGTCTCTAGATTTTTGTGCTGGCCAAAACTGCCCGTGAAAGGGTTTTTGGACGTTTTTTATTTATTGTCATTTTTCAATCATTTGTATTAAATGGCTGTTTTATAATATTTTAATACAAGGTGCTTCAAGACACTCCACTTTAAACCGTGCTGGGCTTTCTAACAAAAAAGCCCAACACTAACTGCAAGTTTACTTGCCCAAGTGCCTGCATGCTTGTTGACACCCTGTTTAAACCTATGATGAAGTTCCTTGGAGGAATAAAGTAGAGGGTATGTCCCTCCTTTGAATCATTCAGCAGCCTATGTAATCTTATCTCTCCTGCTGTTTAAATCTATTGACAACACAGCTGTAGATCAGTCTACAGAACTCATCTCTTGCCTTCAGTTTGCCAACCTCTGCTCACAAATGGAAAATATGAGCATTCATGTGAATTAGGGCAACAGATACTTTTATTAGTCAGTGAAACTTGGTGTAGGCGCAGATGGCGCACAGGTTCTTGCATGGGAGTGTCAACTTGAAAACTACCATCTGATACGTTCCCTAAAGTAGGCATTCCAAACATGCGTCACCTTCCCTATGGCCCACTGAATGTCCTCTCTGCTTGCTGAAGGTGGGTGGGCAGGCAGGCAGGAAGATGGATCTGTACAATGAGGGTGTCAGTGGGCTTGGGAGCGAGTGAGAGTTGGTGGGTGAGCAAAATAGTGGAGTGGGTCTGCAGGCAGTGAGTGGCAAGTAATGACCAAGTGGGGGGGGGGGGTGAGACATCTATTCTCTGCCACATACAATGGTGTTTTAACACCTCTCTCTGAGCAGGTTAATAACCTCCTAGATCCAATTAGGCAAATGCAGTCAACACTTGGTTGCGATTAACAGATTATGTGGATTGGAGCGACATTCACCATATTTATTCCCAGATCATTTTTGTACAAGTCATTCTGAATTGAGAAAGCTGGTCGGATGACCAGTGAAATGTCTGCAATAAACATACAGCAAGTCCACTTGCCTTGACTTATTTTTTTACAGATATAAATATAGAGCAGGTACAATAGCCAGCTGTAGTGATGATGGCAAGTGCAGGCTTTTGCATGTATGTGTGAGAGAAGCTGCCTCAGCATGACCTTGCCACCCTTGTCACTTGTGTGAAGGTAATGGGTGGGCATGTTTAATAAGAAGTTAATTCACCCTTTACATCTGTCAAAGTGTGACTTGCACATAAAGTTGTGACTGTCCTTGTGGCCTATTCTTTGGACTTGGGTTTGAAAAGTCCCCTTATAAAAGACAGACCCGGAGAGACTGAGCGGAGGGGCTACATGACTGGGGGGAGGAATAGTCCCGGGAGAAGGAGTTAAAATAAAATGGGGATAGCTGATTGGACGTTGGCTTCAGGTGTCCGGGAGGAGCCGCGCGGGAAGGAGCTGCAAGGGCTGAGGGACGTCCTTTCTGAAAAATCGACAAAGGAAGCAGGTTGTCCCACCCTCCCTCCCTGAATGTTGTGGTTATGTGGGTTGCGGGGTTCTTTTTGTCACATCAGCTTGGTGGGTTAGGGGGTCTTTGGGGGGTCTACACAATCGGAGTTGATTACAAAAATGGGGGGCCATCAGCTAGTATGGGTGCTTCCCCCTGTTGGTATCCAGATTTGTAGGGGGCGGGCCTGGCTCCTTGGGAACCTGGAAGTAGTAATGGTCCTCGAGCTGGTTGTAGTGTGGCTGGGGACATGGGTGGAGCGTTAGGAGAGGCCTTTTTGGGCTGTTGGGCACCCAAAGACCCCTTCTCAGGTCAACAATCGTTGAGAGTATTATTTGTGTATATTATTTGGTTTATTACTTTGGTTATTGTTAAAGTTGTTTGGTTTAATAAAAGGGCTGCTGTGGCCGTTAAAATCCATGTCGCGCAGTCCGTGTGTTTATTGGGGTTTCAACAGAGGGACGAAAATTGACGAATCCATCAGTCAAGACTCTTTGCTTTACCATTTATTGTTGAGCATTTGGATTTTAAGTCTTAGAAATAAAAACTAAAGAGAAAAATTAAAGAATTTAAATCAGAAGAATAATCGTGGCGCCAGGCGAACAAGTACCGAATAGGTTGTATGTAGTAGTTGTTGTTAGATTCAACATGACTTGTGAAGTAACGATGAGGGTTTTTTACCAATCATTCAAAAGGCTTCCTGAGTTTGAACCGGGAAATCCACTTGGACGAGCACTGAATGTCTTCAACATTAGAGAACAAGTGTAATGTGACTATTATTAGCTATATTATGATTTGAATAACGGAATGTCTACATATTCATAGTATCTACCTTTTTATGTGGAATTATATCATGTTCAATTAAGTAAGGCTATATGTAGGGATGCACCGATAAGTGCCATTTTCCTGCCGATACATCGGTGCATCTGTGATTTCTTTCCTCCCCGCTGGGCGCTGCTCTGTGTCCCAGCAGGGAGGAGAGAAACTGTGATAGCCGGCCGACCGCTGCGGGAGGAGAGCACTGTGAGCGGCCGGCGTCTCTCCTCCCACACTGCTCAGCCTCCTATCACAGCGGTGTGTGGGCGGAGACAGGCCGCGCTGTCACAGGAGGCTGAGCTCTCCACCCTACACCGCTCGGTCAGCCTCCTGTGACAGCGTGTCAGAGAGGAGAGCGGGTACAAACACTCAGTGATCAGTGATCGCTGAGTGTTTGTAGATAATTGAGGACCTGGTATGTTGGCTATATCCTCAATTATGAATGAATGGGAAGTGATCTACATCACCTCCTGTCCATTCATGATTGTGGTTATATTAATCACACAATGTTCTCATGTAATGAATGATCGGGAACACTCAGTATAGAGGATTCCTGTTCATTGATAACAGGGGACACAGAAAAAGAGATTGAGCACTTTGTCCTCAATCTCTTTTTCTGCTTTAAAAGGGAAATATCAGGAGTCTGTTTGGACCCCTGATATTTCCAAGGAGCCCCTAAAAGTAAAGTCAAAAATAAAAATATTTAATAAAAAATGAATTAATAAATAAAAATAAATATAAAAAAATTAAAAAGTTTATAAACAATAAAATAT